TTAAAGAGTTGGTTTCTTTTTTCAAATTTTCCAATTGAAAAGATTTTTTCAGTACGCCTTTACAGTTTTTTGGTATTAATGCCCTATTTTGTTTACCTGCTGTGAAAGCCACAAGAGTGAAATGTCCCATCTTCAACCCGACTGAGTCAGCTAGACAAAGACATGACAAACAGGGAGAGAACGTGACTGTGAGACATTTTTCTCATCACCTTTCCCTCATCTGTCAAACACATGCATCCCAGCAACACTGTGCACACTTTGCCCTCTCCTCAGGAAGAACGTCCTTGTGTATGAGAGGTCAGTGCCTCGTCAGCAGGGATGCATTCTGGGTGTTTGGAGAGTAAACAGCGGATCATTTTTTGTTATGGGACGAAAGACAGCAGGTGTCCAGGCAACTTTCCCTCAGCTTACACTGAAGGCTGAAGGAAAGTGGTTTAGCTTCAGATAAAAAGTCACATACCTAACTGATTTGGTAAAGTTTTTGTCCTATGTAGCTGAAACATCACAATGGTAATGTGCAATTGTTATCAGAGCAACTTGGACTTAAAACTGGTCAGCCAGTTTGACCTTGGATCTTTCTGTAGTTGTTGCTAAAAAGGTTTTGAATGGGATTACCAAACCGTTTATGTTTAAACTTTAGGGTGCAGTTCATAAAAAAATCGTGCAACATCCAGAGGAACAGACAGAGACAAGATGATGCCACCCTCCTGTCTGGGTTGTCTGTATATGAAGTTGCCACTAATGTTGAGCCTCTCTATCTTGGTACTGGTTGGACTTGGACATGATGCATGTGGTTCACCCTCAGGTAACATCTCAGATTACAGCAGGCCCAGATCCAGCCTCCCACTGTGGGGAGAGCTTTTTGAAATGGCAGTGACTTCAGATTCTGCAGGATCTGCACGAACCTTTGAGAAATGTTCATGTAGCCTGATATCGAAGATTCTTGAATAAAACACGAGATTATAAGATCATGACTACTTGATCACATTATATCATCTTGCAGAAGTGCGGCTGATGTGATGCTAAATCCAGCCTATTTTACTCGCAGGCTCCTAATAAAATGATTAAATTGAACTGATATTTGTTAAGGTTTGGTCAGGATGGGCAGCTATCATGTCTTGTCACTTGAAACTGACCTTGGATTATTAGCCTTTTGTAGTATTTTCAATCCTTTACTGAACTTTTGATTTTGAAAAAAAATCTACCCTGGTTCTATGTTAAACAGCCAAAAGCTAAAGCATTTCCTGGCAGATCGATTGATCTCTCTATTGTGACATCTAACAATGCCAATTATTAAGAAGTTAGCTTGAAATGGAGACGCAGACAACACAAAGACCTACTCGTATGCTATTTTTGACTCTTCCATCGTGACCTTTCTTAGACCATTCTCAGGGGTTAGTATCAGATAGCATGGCAAAGTCAAGGTCGAGAAGGCCTTTGTCTCCTAAATACATCAGACAATAGCAGACCCACAAAGAGAGCAGCTACCACCTTTGTTTTCAGGGTTTGAAGATTTTCTTTTAGCATCTTAAGGGTTCGCATTGACATGGGTAAAAAATATAAATCCTTCCTGTTGGATTGGTATCCATTTGTCCACACATCAAAGAAAACGCTGACTGATATTGATAATATTATCAAGCATTCCATTCATTGTACATGTCTTAAACAGACTTGAGGCAGATCTGATCGTCCACAAAAAGAGGAATTAATAAACAACAAATGTTTGCATCATCACAAGAATATTTTCTGTTTGAGCAAATTGTTCAAACTATCATAGGCACAAACCCTTAAAATACTTCATTAACAGCTATCAAACGAGAACTGCAAGCCAAAAGACAGGATTTGAATGAACTTTCCCAAACAAATCACCTGACCTTGGCCTCTAAAGTCCTGACTAGCATAGTAACCTGCACAGTACCTGTGCTTACCTGAGGTGGCGGTTCAAGAGCAGAGGAGTTAGTGTGGATGGCCCGAGACACTGCCTGGTTAAAATGGTCTTTTTCTATTCTACGCGAATAAGTACGTGGAGTTCCTCCCCTTTATTTCGAGTGTAAACACATGTATGTGCACAGTGTGAAAATGAGGTGGACGCTTGGCTGACGCACGCTTGTGTGGAGGACCGGCGTCAGTGTTATTCCATAAACACTGGCATGTTTCAATGCATAGTCAAGAGAAAGTGCTAAGTGAACACACACAACTGCACAGTGTCAAGATGTAAGTGAAGGAGTGTCTCCATCCATCCCCCGTTTCAAAGTCTCTGGAAGAGTCCACGTCTCTCTGTCAGGCAACTTTTATTATACCTTGGAGTTCCCCATCCATTTTCAGTTCATCTTAGAGAAATGATCCCTCCAACTATCTTATGCCCATCACAGTGCACCCCTTAGATCTTCTCAGCCCATCTCACAGAGTTTCCCCAGCTAACATCTGGAGAACATTCATTTCCCTGTGTGAGCATGATCCCATATCAAAATTCGGCAGATGAGCTACAAAGCCCCACGTGACTGAACCAGCAGACACCATTGACGGCTTTTATCAGTTCAAGGTCAAGATTGAGATCTGTCTCTCAGCAGCATTCCAGGTGGTGGCAAATGCCTGAGGTTCTGAAATTCCTCATTTTCTTAAAAAATTCCTCAAGGAAAATTACGTTGCCCTTCACCCTTTCTCTCTGGAGCTTTCACTCCAGAGAGTGAAAGCTCCAGAACTTCCTGGCTGCCTTAACCCATCAAAGCGTCTTGGACATAACACATTTTGTTTCAGTGACTCTAGCTTTTCTACGTCTACCAGTACCTGTCAGTTATCTAGAGTTCCCCAAGCTAACCAGGCTCCATTTAGTTTAATCCTGCCAGCCTCCGGTGCCCGCACAGGGAACAGATAGGCTTCAAATGGACAATGAGACATGCTGTCTGAATTCAGATGATTTCAGTCCACATTGTAATTGTTTTTTTTCTTCACTCCTCTTCCTTTCATTCACCTCATACCTTTCTCTCAATCTGTTATTCTCTTTTTGCTTTTTGAGCAGATCAGATATAAAGAAAGTATTTTCTTTCAGTATACCACCAGAAATCACCCAGACTTAGTGTGAAATAAATGCTGCGTTTTCACACTTTTATCACTTTTGAGTCTATTTAAAGTCCAGTAAATCATTTCTGATCATTAGCAGCTCAATTGTGTGCATCTCATTTTGTGTCTTTTTAGGCACTGGTTTGAAGATGTGTTAATGCAACTGTGCACATTTATTCAGTGTGCAGAAATATGTGAGCACATGTGCCACAGTGGTGACTATTTATACCTCTTTCTGTCACACACTTGAAAAAGCTGAAGCACATATCAGTCTCCTAACAAGCGATAACTGCTGGGACAGCAGAGACTTGGGCACAGACTCAACACCACATAGCTCAAGGTGTGTGTGGCACTGTGAGTGTGTGATAATAGAATAATTTGACAGCCGATATAGGACAGCAACTGACAACAAAGAAATAAAGATAAAATTCACGGTTAAAAGCTCCCAGTAAACGATTTACAATACATAAGAGGGTGATTTTGACTTCACCCCTTGGCTGTGTGTTCAAACATTTTATGGGAACATGTCAAGTGTATGAATCCCAGAGACAAAGGTAAGTATCCAGTATCCAGTAAGCATTGGTTTGGAAATGTACAGCAGGAAACATCTGAAGCTGCTGCTGGATGTCTTTGTCACTGTAAATGAAGTTAGATAAAGGTCATTGTGTTCCTGGGCATTTGTCATGTTAAAGATTGAATTAGAGGACCCAATGGAATACTGTACTGAGAAAACAGTATGGGAATATTTTGAGAAGGCGTTGGGTTTCTGCAGCATTTGCAGAAAACTCTTCAGGAAATCACCATATTTCACTCTATGTGAGTCTTTTGTGAGCAGCACAAAACACCCGGTTAAGAAAGACCGTGTTTTTAAAAAAAAGATACACACATGATAACGATCAGTCATTTGAAAGCTTAACTGATCGTAAAGCTGAAAGAAAGATAACTTGCTCTTCCAGCATTCACACTCATTAAGTTTCTTATTAACTTCATTTTTAGTACTTTTCAATCTTTGTTATGAGATAAAAGTTGGAGTAATTGTTTTATTGTCAATAAAAGGTTATCTTGTGAACACACAATAAACACTGTAGGTGATCGCAGTCACAGACGAGGAGACACACATCTCCTGATTATGGTGGTATCTCACTATGTTTGTCCTTAAACAGCAGAACTAAAGGTCTAAGGAAAGGTTAGCTGACACTCCATTCAGTCATTCAGGTTTCACAAAAAACTATCCTTCACAAGACCTGGGAAAAAAAGACTGAGAGAAATTATTTTAGTGGACCATGGATATGATACTATTCATGACAATGTGGATAGTAAAAGTCACCTCATGACCTTCCAACTCATACCTCGCGTCCTGGTTTCCACAGAAAAGCGTATTTTGTCTAGATAATAATTAGGCTCATTGTTTTTAAAAGTAAAATTTATTCATCGCTTTCCATTCAGACGGATGTATAAATCATATAATTTCCCACATCCAAAACTTAGACATTATCAGCAGCTTTTTGGATAAAAACATGACCAGATTTACTATATATTTGAAAAATATATAAAGAAATATTTCCAACATATCTCTTTATTTCATAAAGCTATCTTCTGCCATACAACGCCACAGACCTCCCGCCCGGTTCAGAATAGGGAAGAAATAGAAGCCAAAATAAGAACAAAACCTATGTGGAGTGAGGAGAGGTGTAGATGAACAGCTGAATCAACACGCCGCTCCACACCAACTCTGCAGTAACAGCTAAAAGACGGAGGAAAAATCTCTCCTGCTGACTGCCCTTTGTGTGAGCTTTTGTGTGTCTGTGCGAGTGCATCGTGTGTTATTCTGGTTGTCGTACTTCTCCATCAGACGTCATAGCACACAGCAAAAGGAATGCAGACTACAGTCAAATCATATCGTGTAATTCGATTTATTGAAAGTTTACGTTATGTAGGAGCCACATGTTCACCCGTAATAGCCTCTTAAAGGACTGGGGGGGGGGGGGGGTGGGGGGGTCTAGACAAAGTTACAGCAGTAGGCTGGAGTGAAAACCTCAGTCTAACCTGTCTTGTCTTGCGTAGTGTAAGTAAAGGCAGAAGGATAAGACGCTTGATGTCTATCGAAATCTCCCCAAACACACACGCATGAGGTCACCACCAGGGGGAAGCAAAGAAAGAGGGTTGCCATCAAACTGTGCTCATTTATGTTCATCATTCAAGCTGAAGTAAAGAAAATTGTAATGTATTAGACTCTATTGATACATACATATTTGTCACTACTCAAAAAGCATAAGCAGTAATGCACCTTGCTTGGATAAAAAATGCATACAAATAATTAGAACATATGTTCAATCATTCATTTATTTAGTATTCTACAGAGAGGTTCAAACGCTCAAGAATAGGCAGCATATCCAGGATCAGCTGGCAGCAGAACTAATAAATTACATAATTTTACTTCTAGGATGTGTAAAAATAACTTTAATAAGCAATAAATGCACAAACAACAATGCCGAATAAACATAAACTTCTGAGTGAGGGAACACTAATAGCTTGACACAAATTTATTTGGTATTTTTGCCTTCATGTAATCATGTCAAACTCAGGAGGCCATCCTAATGTTTGACCTAACAGTCATTCTCTTGATGTGAAAGTGTCACCTCCAAGTGGACAAATAGTGACTGTGCAGTTTAGAAATATTAAAGTGAGATGTGTTTAGTCTTTTTAAATTGGACTGATATGATGTACTTGTAAAAGTCAGTTGGTTCAGTAAGAGTGGTGTCAGTGTGAAGGAAGCTAAGCTAAAAGCTAGCCAGGATCTTAAAAGGCAGGTGAAAAATGTTTGCCATCTAAACTCCCCAAAACTACCAAACATGTCACAGTGGTTTAAGGCAAAGGGATGGAGTAGACCCACTCAATCACAGTGAAGGAAAGGGGATGTTGTATGAAAATCCACAGTGAAGCTCTATTCCAAACTGCTTCGATATTTTTGAGATGAAAAAAATTCTCTCTTGAATTCCGCCCTGACTTTTCAAACTTGGAACTCTCTGACCGCAGACCACTCCTTATTTGCGCAAACCACTGCTTTCTGTTTCTTGTGAGAGTCATGTAATCTGCATTGATTCAAACTTGAATTATGATTGATAATTATCATAGAAAAAAAATCAACGAAAAAAAATCAAATATTATATATCAAAGTTAATTAACATGTTTTCATTAAGTAAATTGGTAATCAACCAATAGTTTTATTCTTTTGTGATGATGGTGTCCATGTCATCTTCTCCGTCTCCATCTAAAACATAAATATTTCTCGTAATTTGTTTATTAAAATTTTTGGTAAGTTTGTTCTTGTGTTACAATTTCATAGTTTCATAGATTATAGATCATTTAAACACTACTTACCCAGACACAAGGCACGCTGGAGGGTTTTAGATCTTTGCAGCGTGATGAACAGCAGACCAAACACCAACAGGATCCCAAAGAAACCACCAATTACACAGCCAACAAGGGTGTAATAGCTGGCCTCGCTGTCTATAAAGAGAAGAGAAGTGAAGAGAGGAGAAATGCTAAGATTTAAACTGGCAATGTGTGCAAAGAAGACCATTATCTTATTAACAATATCCATCGCTGGATTGTTTATTTGTGCGAGAAACTTTCACCACGTCACCATAAACATGTAGGACTGCAGAGGGCTCGTCAAGTTTGTTTCTCTGCTGACACACCACTCTTGTGCCATTGTCTGAGAAAGAGGTTCCCTTTAGGGTCCACACAGCCACAGTCTCTCCGTTCCTCTCATCACAGCTTCCATAGAGAGCCTAAGCAGAACAAAGTTAAAGTTAAAACACATCAATTCAACTGAGATGACTGAGAAAACATCATGGGAGAATTAACCCCCTGAGACACTGGGTCTAAATACGAGGTAATTGGATTTTTGCATAGGTCCTACTAATCCCATACATCTTAGAAAAAGCAAGCATGCTTAAATCTTGGATCTAAGATAGTTAACGAAAACTAAAAGAACCATTAAATTAATACATGGATACAATCTCGGAGATTCAACGCCTCACCTGGGGAACATCTTCAAAGTGGCCATGAGGGCAGGTGAGGCTGTAGTTCCCATGGCTCCCATAGAAAGTGAATGTGACATTCTGAGAGGCTGTGGGCACTCTACAGCTGAACACTGCAGGCTCGCCCACAGCCACTGTGACATCACTGGGGCGCCCACCGTCACCGAGATCCTCAGGCTTTGTGGTATTGGTGCTGTCTTGACCTGCAGCAATATGGTGGCAAAGGGGAAGAGAGTGGGAGATATCTGCATAATCATCTCCATGCATGACTTTATCTGGTTCTCAAAAGAACGGAAAAGGGGAGGAGGTTTCACTCAGTTGTTAACTCCTTGTTGATCGTCCAGTAACGCACAAGAGCTCAGGCCCTCGTGTGGTTTTTAGATTTACATGTGATTAATCTTAAGCTCCATTTTGTTGACACACAATAAGTGGATGTATTTTTAACTGGCGCATACCTTAGCTGACACTCACACAGCCAGTGGCTGTGATTTGTTACCTGAGGAAGGTGAGCCGATTTGAAGAACAGCCAGAAACAGCAAGCAGGCACGATAAACTTCTCCCTTTCCCCTCATTTCTTCTTTCCTTTTCTTTTCAATCCTTCTTCCAAATGGGATTTCTTATTCCATCTATCAATGTGGAACGTTTCAAATGCCTCATTTGCCAAATGATTTCAGAGGACAGATACGTTTTTCATATCAAGGAGTATTTCACAGCAGGGACATTACTATCTTGGGTCTTTTATTGAGGTTGAAATAGAATTAAATCATTTAAAAACAGAGCCCAAATTATGACATGGCTGCTTCAACATTAAAAAACCCTACTCGTTTAAGGTTTCACAATGATGAGTTAGAAAGAACTAGATCTTCTTTACTTTACATATTAAACTGGTTACACTTCTAAGAAGAACAGTTTCTTCATTACTTCTCTTAATATGATTATTGGGACAAATTCTGAAATGTAACTTTCTTTTTTTGAGAAAAACTCTAAAATAAAGACAAAAAAGATAAGACCAACCACCAAAAGGAGTTGGAAATCCCACAGCAGCTCTTCAGGTTGTGCGACTCCTCGGAGCAAATATCCTCTTCTGTTTACAGCCGACAGTAGAGGACACAGCTGCCTGATTAAGCTTACTCGCTTTCTCCGTCCTTTTCTCCTCTTCCGAGCAAGAAAGAATATTAGAGACACTAGACACCTCGAAGTATGCGGACATCTTCCTGATAAACTTGGTGGATTCCTGTAAAACAACAAACCGGTTGAGCAGGCTGAACATGAGTGGCTGCCTGGACAATTATGCAAGACTCACTGCTGCCTAATTAATTTTTCTGTCTTTCCCATGTATTGATGCATTTGTCAGAGCCCCGTCCCTCATTTACTTAAGATTGAATAACCTTAATGAAATGTATACTTCACAAAAAGCTTATTTTGTGAATGACGGTGCAGTTGATTGGGTGCAGGGTTTGCTTAACCTTCCGCATAGATATACTTTCTCTTTTTAAGATCTTCAAAATCTAGAGATCTGAAAGCAGTTTGAGTGCATTCACTTCCAGAGGGTGTTCCGTTCTTGTCATTCGATTGCCAACACACATAAGCACCAATAAGAACGTCTGGTTCAAATCTGGCCTGTTATGGAGATATTAGTGCCAAATGCAATTCTTTAAGGCAAGGCCAGGCCAATGTATTTGTATTGCACAAGTCCTTTACATAAAAGATAAATAAAGACAAAGCTAATTAAAAAGTCAGACTTTAAAACAGTTGGAAATTTTTGATTAAATCAATCAAAAGTGAAGAGTGTAGATAGAATACATTCAGGTGGAATATGCACAGCTGAGGCCTGTCTCACTTCTTCTGGAAGATTGCTTCAGTTTTAGGAGCATATCACTAAAATGCAACCTCACCTTGTTTAGTCCTGACTCTAGACAAATCCAGGACAAGAGGAAGAATGAGAAGCCAGGTGTTAATGAGAAAGACTACTCTACTAAAAGAGAATGAAGCAACTGCTGAGGTGCGAATGATAAACAGCAAAATACCACAAAGGACAGCAAAAGTAGTCTAAACCAAGGCGCTAAAATTAAGTAAACCAGAGTGAAGACTAGGAGACAAAAAGAGAGAAAAACACAGGTAATACAGAAATCATCATACATCGTGAGATTAGAAAATACCTCAGTTTTGGGGTTGGCCACAGTTGCCAAATTCACCATTATCTGGATGTTGGCAGATTTTGCAAGCTCAGAGTTTGTGTGCTTATAAAGAGAACTTACGATTATAGAATAATAGTTTAGCTTCCTCTTTTGGGGGATACGTCATTTAACATTGCTGAATTGGCCAAAAGAAAAAAGAAAAAACAGTGTTGCAAAAGGAAAAGGAATGTTAAAAATCTTTTTTTGAAACTTTTGATACTTACACTGCTTTCACAATGAAACTTGATGATGATGCTAATCTAAGCACCAACTTTTCTCCCAGCTGAAACCGAGAGTACACCCTTTTCATAATGCTTGCTGGTACATAAAGCATGTGCTTTAACGTATAAAAGTACCTTGAGTTGTAAGTTTTGGAAATTCATGCCATGAAGCATACATTTAATTTGCATCAACTTTAGTTCTCTAATTTTATGGTCTCAGCTGTCAACTGTCTTGCTGTTTTCCTCTCTGTTTAAAGAAAACCATAGATACTAGTAATGACTAATGATGTGGTGAGGGGGTGGAGAGGAGCTGATCCCTCCCATTTTAGGCTTCACAAAGGTCTCAGTGTTATTCAGATATTTGCTGTTATGTGCTGAAGATGATTGAAGTTCTTCTGTTTTTGATGATGAAGCCAGGTAAGGAACTATTATTTTTAAATGTAATTGACTCTTTTCATCACATGTATCTGTTCGTTAAGCTTATTCTTCTCCGTGTCCTCCTGAAAGGGACATTGTAAAAAGTCAAACAAAAACCAAGCTACCAAGTTATACGTCGAAGATGGCTGTCGAAGAAAATCTATTACGTTTTCTTAAATTGCAAAATATAGCTAATAATGCCGCCAAAATGACAAGATCAGTCCATTAATCCGTAAAGCTTGTTAATCCCCTGACACATCACATCATGGAGGCTGCTATCAGAGCTGCCATTTGTGAAGGAGCAAAAGGAAGTAGACCAGACGTGGACCCCAGAAGAGATGAAGATGCTTCCTCTTTTATCACGGCACAGCTTTATACAGAGTCAATTTGAAGGGACAGACAGAAATAAAGTTGCTTTCATTGGTCTTACTCAGCAGAACCTACAGCCCAGACATATTTTTTTGTTTTTTGGAAGCAGGTGTTGGCAGTGGATTGAAGAAAAACCCACTGCTTACATTGGCTGAGTTGTGGGTTTTGCTCACAATAGTGAGCACATAGAGATAAAAATGGGCTCATAAACGTTGTGCAGTATGCAGTTGTGCAGTCATATTCATCTGAAGGCAATTTACAGTAAAAGGCAGTGTCTGAATGACTGAATTCAAATTACTTGCTTGGTGGTTGTCTCAACTTAATGTACTTCCTGTTTCAAAGTACAGAAGTACTCTTAGAATGTGTTACTTATCACGTTTCTTTTTCTCTCCAAAGGAGTGGAGAGCACTGCTGTTGGAACTGTGACGTTTGAAAACCCAGACTACTGCGCTTTCACGGGATCATCGGTGCAGTTCAAATGCTTTTACAACTACTCAGATGAAGAAACAGTCAGGAAGACTTCATGGTACAAGGGAGAGATGAAAGATGGCACCATGCAGCGTGTCAGCCTTTCACTTATTCCGTCGTATCAAAACCGTTGGATATATCGTGGCGATTACCAGCACAACTGTAGCTTGGAGCTTCATGACCTGCAGGACACTGACACTGGCTATTACTTCTTCAGATTTGACACAAACAAGTATGGCTGGCGTAGTAAGGGATCACTGTACCTGTCTGTTACAGGTAAAGCGATGCAACATTGAGTCATTTTTCAAAGTAAGTGTTTTTACTTTTCTCAATACCACAACTTTTTTGTGTTCAACCGACTATGTCCAGAGCTACAGGCCACAGTTAGTCCCCAGAGAGTGCGAGTTGGAAACACTGTGACCCTTGAATGTAAAACAACCTGCCAGCTTCCCATAGTCTGGCTCAGAGATGGACATCGAGTGACGAAATCACAGTTCCGAGCTCAGGCAGAGGATGCTGGGAACTACTCATGCTCTGCGGAAGGGCCCAACCCAAAGCAGTCCCACCCTGTGGCCCTGGATGTCTGGTGTAAGCACAAAGCTTCTTCTGAATTGAACCATATTCATGTTTTATAGGAAAATACTGCAGTATTGTTGCTACCCTCAGCCTCACAGAAGCAATATCAGATCCCAATAATGTTATCTACAAGTCTTGAAATGATCTGGACAATTTGTGCATAAAACAAACCACTGCGAATAACTGATTGTTTATGACAGAGGTTGTGTTTCCCTTGCAGATCCTCCCATAAATGTGTCTATTGAGGTGAGCGGTGGGGACATGCTGACAGAGGGCAGCAGTGTGAATCTGACCTGCAACAGCGTTGCTAACCCCGCAGCAGACGGCTACACCTGGTACAGGACAGCTGCGTCCAGCACCAGCTCACTGCTCCAGGTGGGGTCAGGGCAGGTCCTCACAATCTCCCCCATGGAGGAGTCCCACAATGGACTCTATGTCTGCCAGGCAAAGAACCCAGTGGGACAAAACAATTCAACTATGGTGCTTGTGGCAGTGGGAGAAGAGGGAAGTGAGTATGCACAGTTTATAATTTTGCAAGTCAGAGAGCTGCGGTTTGACTGTTACTGATTAGTTTCTTTTAGAGATGTTTAAAGTTTTTTTTGAGGTGATAAACAGCTAAACCGCAGCAGACAAACTGTTAGTTAAGTCCTTTCATGTTGGAGGAAAGTCTAAGATGCTGTCAACATCATGGCTCTTTTACATGTACCAACAGTCAATCGCTTCATCGTTCTTGGGATTAGAGTATTAGGGATAATTGTGATGCTGCTGCTTCCGTTGGCTGTTGTCTGTGCTTGGTGAGTAACACAAACAAATCCGAATTCTGGTGCAACTGGATGTGTTACATTCAGTAAATACATGTGGGCACTAAACATGTCTTTTTGGTGATTAAAGGAGGAGATCGCGTAGGTCTACGGCAGAGGAAGAGGTGAGGAGCAGAGGACCAGATTGGTTTTGAAAATGCAAAAGAACACACTCACAAAGTGTTATACGGTGTGCTCTTGTCTTCCAGAGGGCCAGCAATGATTACGAAAACATCACCGTCACTGAATTCAAATAACATTTCCAAATGTATGACATGGTTAGCAAAAGTGGACGAAATAAAACAAGAATTGTGAATTTAAAAAAAAAACAGACAGTCTATCTAATGGATGTCTGCTGCTTTCACAGTACGTCTTTCATCTTAACTGAGCTTCAAGGCAGTTTGAAAAGCTGAAATGCTCAGAGCACATCATTTTGTTTGGTCAATTAAAAAATTATAATTTATTATCCACATTGATTGTTTAAGGTGAAAGGATAAGAGACACAACTATGTTTTTTTCATAACTATGATGTTGCTTTTATTTTTATATTTTTTAATGTGATCAGTTGCTGGTTTGGAAGTACTAACCATCAGTGGTGGGAGGGGTCCCTTTGTCTAACAGACTGTGAGGAGCCCTCAGTGTGGTTAGACCGAGATATGCTGCCTCCCAGAGTCTGAAATGCGTGTGTACAATTTGTCCTGCTAGAAATGAAAATTATATACTGTATGTTTTTTAAGTTGTAAATATCAATGACGCTCTTTTTTTGATGGGTCATCTATACAACATCATGTTAGAATTCTTATTTGGTCAGATTTAAAAGGTGAGGTCGAACTGACTAATTTAAGTCCTGTATTACTGTCATTGCATCAGAACGGTAAAATAATCATGTATGACACGTGTTTCTCTTAATTTCCTTAAATTTGCACCTCAATGACATGTAATTACATGGTTTTACATGGTTTGCCGTGCAATAAACATTAAATAGATCAAATTTTGACTATTTTACGTCTTAATTCAATCTCAACTCATTAGAAAAATGGACAGATAATAGAACTTGTGCTAACTGTACACACAGATGTATCGCTTTATACATTACCAATAACTTAATTTATCAGCAATTACAAATAATTATGTGTATCCACTCCCAGTGAAAAACAAGTAAAAAAAGCAAAAGTCTAAGAATAGTCCAAGGAGCTGAAGAAACTGAAATTCAAGACTGTGCTGGTGTCACTGTCCTTCTGGTTTTTTATCCTCCCCCACTCTTCCTCAACTTCTGGTAAGTATCTGCTGGAAGCCAAAGTTTACTCAAAAACTCACAAACATTGCCAAGAGTGAAATGATAACAGCTCCTAATTGGATCATGGTGACCGTATTTTCTGTCACCATTACAATGCTCCTCATCACTAACAGGCTCTCAGTGCCTTTGGGTTGTCTATTTTTGGACATTGCTTACAGTTCTTGTAGGAATCTTTTCAGACTAACAGTCGTTGTGGCCGCTCATATCCAACAAAAGACGGCAGATATCCTACATTTAAATTCACATCTGTTTCCTGTACCACTTGAAAAAAAATCAAATGAAAAAAAGAGATCACCAGAAGGAAGATAGGTCTCTTTTCACTGTAATGTTGAGAGAGATACTATGACTCCTTCTCATAGCACTGAGAAAGTGTGCTTACACCCACTGGTTTCCATCTTAATGAATGCATTGAACACAGCACAACTCAGTGCTGAGTTCTGGAAATTAAAGGCCAGTGAGGAGTACAGTGGAAAGGCCATCACTAATTGGATGCCTTGTGTGATTGACGCTTTATTGACAAACAGTAGGTGTATTACATTATGACAAAACTGTGGAATATTAGCAAAACGATTTTTCTTGTTATCGTTGTGTTGAAAGTGGTGTGCATATCAGAAAAAGTCTCAGTTGCATTAAGCATTTAAGCTTCTGTGGCAGCTGTTGCTGTGAGGACATATGAACGATGCTTGGTGATCTTCTTTCTCCTGAAAGTTTAAAAGATATAAAAAATCAATTTAATATTTTCAATTTCACATCAAAATATTTATTTACTTTAAAGATAATCCCCTATCAAATCAAATATATTTCAAACTAAGGATGTACCTAATCTTTAAAATGAAAAAGTAAACCTGCCTGAAAGCAGGGCTAACAATCAACCATCAAAACCATGTCTGGCTGTCTAATACGTTGTTTCTAGCAGTGCATTAACATTGGCAAATGGAAGGATAGGAAATTTTGATGATGTAAATGAAAAAAAAAACTGAAACAAAGCCCTCACCTTGTTATCAGACAGGCAACAGTGGTAACAATTGCCAACAGGACTCCAACGGTTACACAGATTAATACCAACCGTCCTCCTGAGTGTTCTGATTGGCTAGCTGCTGTAGAGAACAGAATATAACAGAAAAGAACAGTGTAGATGGAGTGTCCTTATATGCTTAAATATGATAGTAGATATTAACAAAAGCATTTCTATATATTTGGAAATTGTTGTATGTTGTAGTGTAGACTTGAAATAAAATTGCTGTATTAATTAGAAGGTATATATCATACAAAGCGACTACAAAGAGACTGAAATATAGGGTGAGATAGTTGTAACATGCAGCCAAAGTCTTCAATGCTCTTAATCTCTCCAGATTGATCAAATTCTTGATTCATGTGTGCATCTCATCAGTATGAAAGTCAGGCTGTTCATTGACCCACCTTGAGAATCTTGAAGAGTTACGCTGTAAGTCTGGGATCCGTGTTTGTTGCGTGCTACACAGCAGTGCTGCCCACTGGCCTCAGTGGTGATGTTGGCACTGCTAAAAGTTGGGCCACTTCCTGCTGGTTTTGCCAAGGCTTGGCTTCCTTCGTGGAAGCTTTTGTCTGTAGTTGGGAGACACGCTACACCCTGGTACCAGGTGTAGGTGTGCACGGGTGGGTTAGCATTGCTGCTGCAGCTCAGAGTCACAGGGAGTCCATCCTGCTGCTCGCCAGAAGGAAAGACTGAGACACTGGTGTTTTGCGGAGGGTCTGGACAGAAGAAAGTAATTTCATATAAGAAAAAATGGATAGATAAAGAATAAGTTGGTGAATTTGTATATATTTTGTATTAAACACGATATATCATAGCAGATTATGTCTTAAAATAAGTGAACCCTCAGTAAAAGCCTCACTTACATTGGACATCAATGAGGAGCTTTGTGGAATTCTGCTGTTTATCCGCAGTCATTATCTGACAAAAGTAGCTGCCGGATTCGTCCGATCTAATTTCGCTGATACTCCACACCTGACCGTCATGTGACGGGCTGGTGTCTGTGCCCCTGTACCATCGGAACCGGGCCTGTGCACCGGCTGCTGGGCTGCAGCAGGACAGATGTAGAGCGGCCCCCCGCACCACCGCTCTGGACGGCCCCGCCAGGACTGCCACTTCACTGGAAGAGTCTGGAGCATTCAAACATCCAGAGGGAGAAAACGCAAACATTATGGTATATTTTCCAATTGATACCCTTTATCCCAGTGGTCATTAACTTCCTATATTCCAGCAGGACAGATAAGGGCATGTAGTCAGTAACAGCATGTCTTTTTTGGTTGATAATGTTTACTGGGGTTTTGCAAAATATAAATGAAGCCACTGAAAAGTAACAAAGCAGATAAAAGACACACACAGGCAAACAGAAGAAGTCAGCTTCCTGTTTTTCTGAAGCCTCTGGTTTCAACCCCTTGTACTTGTACTCTTAAACCCCTTTTTCCAGTTTGTCCACACATGTTTAGTTTGGACAGCAATTTAAGTGGAACGACGATTTCAAATCAGTCATTTGAAAAATAAATCTGAGCCTTTGAACAGGCCCATAAACTTTGGTGTTAAGTAATTACCAAGTCAAGCAGCCTGTGGTTTCAGTTCTACTTCCCACAAATAGCACAAATGTCACTCAAGCGCTTGTACTAAAGAAGTGATCACTGGATAAGCAACACCACTAAAACAAAAAGATAAGCAGAGGAAAACTAGTTTTTCTTAATCAGAAACACTGATCTGTCTAAAGCAGCTAACACTGAAACTTCACCTTTTATGAAACCGAGTGAGGAATATGACTGGCACAGCCAGTCCTGATAATATTCTCACCAGCCACTAGGAGCTGTATGCCTCTCTGAGCTGGCATCTTCTCAGTTGGATGGCTGGTGATGAGGTAGAAGACGTAGGTTCCACTGTCAGACTGTTTTAGATCTGAAATCCTCAGAGAACAGTTCTTGGTTCCCGGCTGTCCTAAATACTGCACTCTGTTTTGATAGGATGGATCTGGGAAGATACCAGCGCTGTGGAAGACATATCTGACACAGACAGACAGAATTAAAACTTTTTCTAGAAACTCAGATTGAAATGCTTAAATCTGAATATATTGTGGGGTTTTAATGAACCATACCTCTGTGTAATGCACTGGCTGTCTGCCAGACACCACATCTCAGACGTCACATTGTACTCCTTATTTTCACCTCCTCCTGCCTAACACCAAAGAATTCATCAACAAGAATCTAGACATTTAAATCAAACCTCACCTGGAGGTTTGGAATAATGGTTTAATATTTTCGGGGCGTCTCCACCACCAAATACTGGCATTACCCACTCATTCTGGTTATTACATTGCAATGTGCACAGAAAGTGACCCGGTCAAAGCAGATTTCAGCTTGCAGCGCAGGCTAATGAGACAATGGCTTCTTTATTAAAGTCCCTGAGCTGAGAACGGTACCTCTCCATTACTTACATTTGAGCTCTGGGGGTAGTCATAGGAACAAGGCAGGACTACTGAAGATCCAGTCACTGCACAAATTGGACTGGGGGGGACACGGACTGACCAGATACCAGCGTGAATACCTGAGCAGTTGAGGACGGGTGTTAAATTACAACATTATAGCCACATGACTGAAATCTGAAGACATAAAAATTCTTATAAGACCCATTTTCTCTTTCATGACGAGTGCGTAGCAGTTCATCAGTGCGATGCCAAACGTGTGTGTGGATGTAAGTGGAGTGAATGCATCCAAGATCCATAGACAGCCTTACCTTTCATAATAAGTGTGATAAGCAACCAGAAGCAGTGTTGATGGGCCATATCTGCACCATGCGGTCACCTGTGTCCTTCTCCTGTCCTCTCCTCAGTTTTTGAGTGCCGGAACGTCGAGCTAAAATCTTTCCTAAAGTCACAAATGTGTAATGTTTCTCTTTCTCTACAGCAACAACGTAAATGGCTGATTGTCCAGCTTCCTTTTTTTTAATCTCCCCTGCTAAAGGGGAACTTGGGGTGATGACAGCAAAGTATGTCAGCAAAATAAACTTGCTACATAGGTGTCAGGGCATGTGTTAAAGAGGGACCAGGGTTGGGGTTGTTCTGTTTTTGGTGGGTTGGGGTGGTGCATCACACCTTCAGAGCCTCTTAACAATGCCCAATATTATTCTAAAGCACGAGTTTGTACTGAGTCCCCAATCGACCTGTTTTGTGAAGAGCGGACACTCTCACGTGGGACAAAGTGTTCAGTTTCAGGAGGTCTGCAGGTTCGGTCAGCCCTCAGAGGTTCTCTCGTGCCTACGTCACTCGCGCCCCTCTCGCGCGCAGAAGGACCACTGCGCAGTGCGCACACAGCCACGGAGCTCCGCTACGCTTCAACAAACTTTGTTCTCAAGACTCGAGTCTCACAAATGGTGCTGTCTTTTAAGTTAGAAGCGGGTGTTGGTGGTTTTGGTTGATTGGAAACTTTTAAAAAAGCGTTGGCTGGAAACTTTTTTTTCCCCCCCCCCCCCCCCCCTCTCTTGGGGTCAGTAACCTGTGAAGAGAGGAAAGGAGGATTAAGTGAAAACTGGGATTTATCTGCTGGCTTTTAACCGAAACAGCGCACAATACGGTTTATTCGAAAAGATTTAGCCACTTGTTCACTGTTTCAATTTCTAAGACGGATTCAGCTGATAAAAAAAAGACAGGTGAGTCATGTTCCGGAAGGAAGGGAGCTGGAATTAATCCGATTGAGCGCTTTATTTAATTTAAGAATTTACTTGGCAGCAAATTAGTTGAAGTAAGGTCTGTAAAACTGAAAGTGACAGGTAAACTATGGCACTGTAATTAATAACCTTGGAAATTAAAGGGCTTCCTCACACCTCAAACACTTTTTGGAAATAATTAAATGTTTATACCTTACAGTAATGGTAGAAGTTTAGGAATCTGTATGCAAGTAATGTGTTTAGTCAGTTTTCCTTCATGAGCAACTATGTTGACTATAGACATGGAAGACTCTAGGGCTACATTCAAATATTAAATAGTGTAATTATTTTTGGTAAAAACAGCTGATTTTGTTCTGTTCTGGGTCATGCCCTTTTTATGTTCATGGTAGAGGGTTTTTTTTACAGAAAAATAATATGGTATGTTCTATGATGTGGACCACCCAATATTGGATTAATAGGCAAAGGACATCTGCCCATTGTTCTCTATGAGAGAAGGAAGGAAGGAAAGTAACCCATTCTCATCTTTTTCTTCTCTTCCCCCTGCTTGCTGCATAGAACACATGTATGCTGAGAAAGTTGTGACAGAGGGGAAGATGGGTGAGTGTATAAATTGCATGCAACCTTGTTTTTGCTATCTCTAGTCCAGTTTATCTTTCTTTTATATGGCACACGTAGACAGATCATATGTCACATGTAGAGATTGAAGTGCTATGCAGGTCACACTGCCTGTTTTCTGTATTTGTGTGCAGACATCAGCTCACTTTACAGTTAAAAATTAACTGGCTTGTTAAAAACTGCTGGCTGGCTGGCTGTGTGATGTTTTCTGTCCAGCTTGGACAGCTTATACTTGTCCTGGTTGTCATCCGACAAGTCTTAAACCAAATAGTTAGGGACAAAGAACGACCAGAGTACAGGACATCATGTTAATAGCAACAGTCTGCGCCCTCTCTTTGCAATCAGAACTCAGTATAACCACATGAGGGTTTACCAACTCTGTTCCCACACAGCTCAGTCGGCATCAGCCCAGCCCGTGTTAAGGGGAGCAGTAGTCTTCCTGATCCTCAGCAATAGCTGGAAAGCAGTGTGCTGTTTAGGAGTTTGTCAGATGTTTTTCAGCTTTATTCCTCCCCAATTGTTTTGCTGAAAGTTATATTATGCTGTCATAGTCGGAAATATTAAAGCACATGGGCTGTGTACATGTGGGATTCCCTGCTGGTGGTGTGTACAGAAACATGCCCTAAAAATCGATATAGACTTTTTACATTGGTGGTATAATGCATTCCCCTACATCTATGTATTTTTTGAGGTAGCTACTACACATTTATTCTGGCTGTTATAACCCAAACTGTATACATAGAAATACTATCGCTCACCTTAGATCAGGAACGTATTGAGTAGCTGCAGAATAAAGCCAGAAATCTCTCCATGGGTGAAGTGTTCTGCTCCTCTAGTCAACACGTCTTGAAGTTCCTTGCGTCTGAGCAGTGATTTACCCACCGTGGCCGAGCACAGTCTGCCAGACATTTGGTTGTCCTTGTTTCTGTTGCATGACTGAAAGGAGTCCACCCAGAGTGAAATGAATCACATTGTGTTTTTGCTGCGGGTAATTACAGGAAGAAAACAGTTGAGCTTTGGAGTAATAACATATGGTGTGGCTAATGCTGTTTATGTCTGAGCAAAGATCAAGAGGAGCACAGCCCTTTTTCAGACGCAATCTGTGCTTACCTTAAGCATGACTCACACGCTACACGTTGATGCACATACATCTGCACAGTGTTTATTTTTAGCTTTTTATCGTGACAACCACTGCATGGGTGAGTCAAAGCTGCTGCTCTGAACCCAACTCTTTGTGTCTGTGGCCCTCACTACTATTATCTTTGCGTGGGTGCAATTTTGCCGTACCACGCCCCGTGCAGGAGTGAGGGATCTACCCAGTCTCCGCCTCTGTAACAGTTTCAGACTTCTTCTTCTGGGATTTGACACAGCTCATGTTGAGTAAATGCCAGACTGAAGATGAATGAAGATCATATTTTTTCTGGTTTATGAGTAGTTTTTAAATCTGTTTCCAAAGTGTATTGAATGGAGACAGGTAGCCATTCACATTTCCAAAGTATATACTGATTAGTGCACTTTAAGAAAACTAACACAAAACTGTGTTCCATGGTATGAAATCAGAACAGCTAAAAATCAACAGATTTATCCCCATGACAACTTAAACTATTTGTTGACGAGGGGTGTGTGATAAGAATAACAGCTCTGGCTCTGCTTTCAAGATAAATGCTATTAAAACATGAGCTGACATGTGACATATGTGCTGATTAGATCTTCAAATGTCTCCATTACCAGCTAAATAAATCTTTGGACAAAAGATTGCCTTTGTTAAACTACTTTTAACTGAAGGTACTCGTCCTTGGACATCAAAAACTATCATTTTTCTTAATTCACAACATTTTTGTTTGGGGTCTTTTTTTAGTTTGTCGTGAGTTGGAAATTAACTGCAACACATGTTCTGTGGTACTCAGCCGCTTCTTTTAAAGGCATGGGAATGGAAAAGAGGGATGATGAACAAAGGAATCCCTCCCAACTTCCAACAGATTGAGTAACTTTTGAATCATCGAAGGGGATGGAAATAATCCAAAAGTAAATGTCTTTATGAAGAGGGGTTGGTCACATACAGTCTGCACTGACTCACCATCGATGCTATTAACAGCAGTAGCAACGAGTCACGAAGGCTTACCATCCAAAAACTAGTTTATGAACCATATTTAGGATGTGCTCTGCCTAGTCCTCCAGTTCTTGTGACCCTAAATGTAATGAAGCAAAGTTACATGATGTGGAGGACAATCTAAAACTAAAATGTTAATGAATGCCCACAGAAACAAATGACAGCGCAACTCTGAGGGTTCCAGTTTGAAATTAATCATTGTATATTCTTCTCTACGAACTAGTCTTGTGAAACGAACAAAAAACCCTCTGGAATCAAATTCCAGTTGCTTTGCGTGCATTTAGATTTGTTTTTTTTCTTTTTGTTGTAGTTTCCAGCCTGGTACGCCAAAACCTGTTTAGTCTAATAACAGAAGAGAATAACTTTACCCACGTGTGATGCAGCCCACTTCAAATATCTTGTTGAGCAAAGATAAAACTGCTGCGCCCTCCAGAACTAAACAGGACACCAGCTCACCCAACTTTGGATAGACTTTTTTGTGTCAAAGTTGCTTTTCTTTAGTTTGCCTAAAGAACTCTGCCTCATGCCGCAGAAATGAAGGCACGTCTGCTAATACACACACAGACACACACACAGAAGGAGCTGGTTTCAGGCAGGAGGAGACACAAAAGAGTGCTTGTTCTGGTTTGCTATGCGCTTGTAACAAGTGCAGTGTGTGGGAAGAGTTCAAGACAGATGGAAGAGGAGGGGACTTTAGGAACAAGGTGGATGGGTGAGGGTGTGCTGGGGTAAAGATGTTGCAGGGGCCTGTTAGATACATCACTGGAAAACAAGTAGACATGTTACAAGTGGCAAAATTAAAATCAATCTGTACATAAGCAACCAGAACTTCTCAGTATTGTAATATATTTGAGGGATTATTTTTGTTTGGATGTATTAGTCTTTCCCTTGATGGTTTTTACCTTTTAAAAAAAATACTTAATACGGTCTCAGTCAGTTTCCAAAATGTAGATGGTAGATACATTTCTTATTGGAAATTAGAAATGACCATATACTAAGTGTTTTGTTGTTGAGTTTGATGAGAAGAGTATTTATGAACACAAGAGGAGCTAAATGCATCTGGATTATGGCTGAGGCTGGGTTTAATGTGAGGAGGAACAGGCATAAGTCCTGTCATGTTAAACAATCATTCAAACCTGTGGAAAAAAGATCTTTTAGGCTCAGTCTTTGCATGCACCAGTGTGAATGAACCATCAAATGCTTTTGGAGTGAATTAATTGTTGTCTACAATCAGTCCATTCATATTTGGAGTTGAATGTGCATGCTGCTATGTTCATATTTTGGGTGAGCTGAGCCCGCTGAATGTAAAACTGATGGAGTTGGTAATCATTTTAGACCGATAGGGAGCCTCTTTTGCATGTGTTTATGCTGGACTTCCTACAACATTCTATAGAACCATGTGTGGATATAAGGTTCTTTATAAAATGACTTACAAGCCATGAAGTGAAAAAGCGTGCCCACCGTCAGATGTTAAAAACTGACTATTCTCACTTTTTAACTTGTTTTTATATCATTTTCTCTCTGACGTTTAGGTTCCCACGGTGTCTCCTAACTCTTTAAAAGAACAATAACACCATCATTAGGCTGACTTGATGTTTGGGGAGAGCACAAGTACAAAAAGGGAGGAGGAGCAGATTTTAGGAGACTGGAGAAACAGTGAAATGGGCTCAGATGGAGGTGAAAACAGGCTGGGTGTTTTGTTTTTTTAGGGAAAATGCTGTTATTGTGGAAGTACAGTCGGTCAGGGACATTGAGTGGTGTGGGGAGCAGATCTGAGTAGATGGGGAGGGAGATTAAGGTCACTGGGCTAGCAGGTCTACACAACTATCGTGTTTCGTTTGTGCAAGGTAGAAATTCGGGATCTGAGCCCAAGCCGTAACACAGTAACACGGGCTGTTTTTTCCGGTGCCGTTATCTGAGCCGTCGAGAAAACAGCGATTTCAGGTAAAAAATTGGGAACTAGCTGGCCCTTTGATGGTCTGATTTTGATTGCATTTTCATTGTGTCATTTTTGGAAAGTGAAAATGTTACACCCAATGGAAATAAGCAACCTATGTGGAGTGTTTTCTTTGATTCAACTGGGATCAGTATATCCTGTTGCTTCCTGCCACAAAGATTGTGGTCTTTTTACAGTCCTGTGCACTGTGGGAAACAGAGAACTGACATAAAGCCTGCACCCAGCATGCACTGCCTTTTAACTTCTTTTGCTACATTACAACTTAGAATGAAATGCTTTTTTTTGTTATACAGCATATTGAAGGAGCAGATAGTTTTTAATGTAAAGCAAAGTGTCTACGTTAGGTAAATTTAATACAAGGGACTTAAGGACGTTTTTTTTTTAGGTGAAAATTTAATTATGTTGGCTGTTATTACACACATGCGATAATAAAACAAACTTTGCTGTATTAAATTTCCCTAAAACGACAACAATGACAGTTCACTAGAATTAGTAACGCCGAGGTACATATTTTTTATAAAAAAAACATTTCTTGGGGAAAAGCAATGCATTAAACTCCTTGGAACTTGTAATATGTATGAGTATGCAGAATTGCAACAGCAAGAATACTGAATTCCCCAAAATCCCACCGGGTGAGCTTTACCTTCCCATTTTATTGATGTGAATCTGTGAATTACCACTGCAAAACAAAATAAATCAGCATGCAGATAGTTGTGCAACATTTGATATATAATTGATGCCGCTACTAAATGACCATTCTAAAAACAAGCTATCTCATTTAGGTTGATAACTGATGCCTGAACTCTGGTCTTTGTGTCTTCGTGTATCACTGTGCAGGAGGAGATGAGGAGAGCAGTTCTGAGAGAGTATAAACTAGGGGTAAAGGGAAAGATGATATATACTTTCCAGACACTCAAGGAAGTCAACAGGTTTTTTTGTTTGTTCAGTCAGTTCATCTAGCACCAGGCTGTGGAGAGACTTCTGACTGTGCACGACGGCTAAAGTTCCTTTTAAGATGAGTTCTGATTTAATGCCTCTGTATTAGGTGATGTAACCTCGGCCTCCGGCTATTGTCTGCTCTGTTGCTTTAACCTTAATGTTGTTAGAGATGGTTTGTTTAAATAAAGGCTGGTGGGAAGTGATAGGAGTTGGCATGTGATGGTGTATGTGGCAAACTGACAGATCACATTATAAAAGGAGGATTTTTGACTTGTAGAAGGATATGCCCCCCCCCAATCTGTCAAAAGAACTGATAGAACAAAATAATTAACTGGCTCTGGTCCTTAAAATGTCATGTTCTTGTAAAAGTACAAGTATAGCTGAATGGATAGATTTATTAGTGTTAATTATACCTGAGTGTATTGTAAAATATAAGATTTAAATTACTGACAAAGGAGAGGATATGATTGGCAGAAAATGGCATAGAGAGAATAATATCTGGATACAGGTGCACTCTCCAAAAAAAAAAAGAAAAATCCACACGGGACAGGCATGGCACTATATCCTAGTTTTAAGAGAAACGCTAGACTTTAGACTATTGATCTAATCAGTGTCATTTGTACTTTCTGGTTTGTGCCAGGAACTAAGCAGCATGCCTCCAACATCAGAGCAGTGAGCTGCAACCCATCTGTCAGTGATGTTTGCTGTAGGCTGGCCCAGCAGGAAAAAAAAAAGATAACCTGTGAATGATCCCAAATAAAACATTCATCTGAACTTGTTTATCATTTGATTTAGTCTGAATACACAGTTGAATTATCAGCGAGTGCACACCAAACTTTAGTTAACTTTTTAATGTTTGCTCAGGTGATTTCAGCAGCTGAGTCATGTCTTCAGCCGAGTGACCCCGTTAATGTGTTATATGTTAAATAAGGTTGTGCTGCCCATGCACATTTGGGCCTTATGACTTCAGAGTGATTATGCTTCTGCATGCATCCTGTAAAACAAAGTTTGTGCTGATTGTACATGTATGTGCATGTGTGTGTCTCTGAGTGTAGGGAGCAGGAGTGGGGGGATCTCTCTGACCTGCGTGTTGACTCCCTGGAGGGTGATTGGGGTGTGTGTCACAGTGATGACCCTGGGAGCCATAGGAGCCGCCGTCTGGGCCGTAGGTCAGGAAAAATAGCTTTTTTTAAATGTACTTTACACGCACATAATTATTATATGATTATATCATCATTTATAAAGATAAAACATATACAAATACGTTTATTGGTTGATTTGAATATTTTCAGCCGTTTGATATTGCTTTTCTATTTCTTTTCCAAATCACATTTCCCTAGTAACGTTCTGCACGATGGAGGAAGACACAGGACTCTATGATGGTGAGATACTGTTTAAAATAGGCAAAGGGAGCGGGGATAAATTTGTATTGATTTTGTGAATGTGTTGGTACGGCACAGGATGACGAAGAACATATGGAACTGGTCCTAACTGAATACAAATGATCACCAAATAGAGTGTGCTATGTTTAAGTTAAAAAAAAAGTTTCACTAGCCTTTATGTCTCCCTGAAGTCCAGGTAAATTCACCAGACCAGCGTCTCAGAGTCTTTGACTCCACCAAGAAGAGGTGGCGCCAGGTGTGCTCCTCCCCAGCCGACGAACTTCTCGCCAGCATCAGCTGTGAAGAAGTGGGATTTGTCAGGTGACTTGATTCTGATTATTATTTGATCTTGTGTCAGTATAACACCCTGAAAACAGTGGTTGCGCCAATACAATTAAATTAAAGTTAGACTTTGTTGGTTTCAAACTTGAATGTATTTAATATAGCTGTATTACATCTGTTGTGGACTGGCTGCTTGTCTAGAGTACTTTTAACCCAATGAGCTGGGTCAGATTCCAACCCCCCCCTCGACCCTGATATTTAATAGTATAGAACATAGATGGATGGTGGACTTGATAGCCACTGTACATCACTGTACGTAGCATTTCATGATTGTTTTCTGTGTTAGTCTACATAGAATAACACATTTCGGGCTTTTTGGTTTCAGCGTTCTGAATTATTCAGTCACATCAGTGCCAGAAGCCAACGGTGATGGTGGGGAATTTTTCTGTGTCCGACAAGAAGAGCTCATCTATGGCAAGAAAATCAAAGACTCATTGTATCCATGGTAATTAATACCTTCGTGTTTTATTACCAAACCTGTGACCTTTGCTGTCTGCTCTGTCTTTTATTTTGCATCTAAACTTAATTCGTAGGAAAGTTTAATACTGTCTTCATTTTTGCTGCTTTCTTTTCTCAGTTGCTAACGCTGTGTCTTTGTTTCAGCCTCTGTGAGAGCAGAGAGGTTCTCACACTGCTGTGTCAAGGTAAGATGTTCCTCCCTACCCTCATTCCATCTGACACACTGGCCCACTTTAATGGCTGACATCTTACACCGGCTCCTCATTAGATAGATCTGAATGGTTTGCTTTCTCCCCCCCCCCCCCCCCCACCGCCCCTGCAGACTGTGGCAGGCGCAGCTTCGCAGCAGACCGTATCGTCGGCGGCGTGGATGCCCGGCAGGGCAGCTGGCCGTGGCAGGTCAGCTTGCAGTACGATGGCGTTCATCAGTGTGGAGGGTCCATCATCTCAAACCGCTGGATCGTTTCTGCGGCACACTGCTTCCCAGAGTAAATGAGACATGTTTCGGGGATCCGCCGTGCTGGTGACTCTGGTTATGTGCACATGTGTGTAAAAGAACCGCTGTCTTTCTTGTCTTTGCTCACACCGCTCCAGGCGCTATCGCTTTGCTAACCGCTGGCGTGTGCTGTTGGGCTCCATCTACAATAAGCCGGTTAATGCCAACGTGGTAGAGGTGAAGACCATTGTTTACCACAGCAGCTACCTGCCCTTTGTGGATTCCAACATAGATGATAACAGCAGGGACATCGCCGTTCTGGCCCTCACCCAACCTCTGGCTTTTAATGGTACGACATGTGCTGGCAAAGGAAACGTGTCAAGTAACCCTGCATGTCTGCCCACATCCTATAAAACTACCTACGATACTGCAGCCTTCAAAACTTGGTGTTGAAGTGATTCCATGAGTTGTTCTATTTGATTGTAGTTGTGTATACACTGACTGGATGTGGTCATTGTTCTGTGATTCAAAGCGTTGTTTCAGTGGGTCCCTTCTGTCATCTAGTGTTTGGGACGTGTAACTACAAAAGCCTCATTAAGAAAATGGAGTGATTTTTCTGAGAATAAATAGGAGGAAAGGTTATCCCAGCTATGCCATCTGATTTTGGGAGGGAGGCGTTGTATCTGCGTCCACTAAATGTATTTTTCGCTGTGTTTGGTGTTAGAATACATCCAGCCTGTCTGTCTACCAGCATATGGTCAAAGACTGATAGATGGACAAATGGGAACGGTGACAGGCTGGGGGAACGTAGGATACTATGGTGAGTCAGCGTTTCATGATGTTGCTATACATCGGACTGAATTGTTTGTTATTTCATCACTTTTTTGGATGCAAAGTTCATATTTATATTTTCCTGCTTCATATGATACTTTTATCTACCTTTGTGGATCTGAATACATTGCATTCCGCATGTGCATCAACACATCAACACCAATGCAGCGGTGGCTCGTTTCTGATCAGTCATTCTCTTTTGTGGATTTCTTTGGTAAACTCACTTACAGATCATTTGGCAGACGTTCTCCAGGAAGCAAATGTCCCCATCATCAGTGATGCTGTCTGCAATGCTCCTGATTACTACGACAACCAGATCACCACCAGCATGTTCTGCGCAGGTTATGAGAAAGGAGGCATAGATGCCTGTCAGGTCAGAGTCAGTATATCTCAGTTGTGTTTATGGTACTTTGTTTAATCTTATATAAATGATAATAAACAGTGATAATGCTTAAAGTCACAATTTTAGTTCATTTCTATGATTGGATTACATGATTGGATGTCTGTGTGTTCAGCGATGGCTTGTTTAGATGGGATGAATCTGATATGTAATCCTCTGTGACCTCAGGGAGACAGCGGTGGCCCGTTTGTGGCGGCTGACTGCTTCTCTAAGGCCAATCGCTATCGTCTGCTGGGAGTGGTGAGCTGGGGAACGGGCTGTGCTATGGCCAAGAAACCTGGCGTCTACACCAGAGTGTCACGATTTCTGCCCTGGATATCAACAGCCATGAGGGTGAGAGTCTTTGCCCGTTGAAATGATCTGTCGAACGCCTAATTTCAAAAGGTTTGATGATATGTAAATGTAAATAAAAAATAAGAGAATGATTTAAACACTCACAAATCATTAGGTTAGTCACAGGTACATACATGACAAAAAGTTGACATTTTGCTATTTGATGACGACTCATTTTTTATTTGTTGATGGCATTCATCTAGAAAAATGGTTTGGACAGATGTATTAGAAAAGTTTGTGGCTGAGTTTTTACATTGTGTCAAATATGCTCTTGTCTTTCTCCAGAATTATCAGAATTTAGCGGGGGTTCACAAAATGGCACGAACATGAGATCCCTGCACCCATGCCAGCTTGCACATGTTTTTCATACGCTTGGACAACAATATGGACACTTTCTGTTGGTGATGCTGTGATAGGAGGATCAAAAGCTGTTATCAACTGTTTTGACATGGCTTTCTGTCCTCACTGAAACCCATTCCCTTTCCCTTTTTTTATTACTGAGAATTTACTCACATCCTGAGTCTGTGAACTGAAGTGGTGTCAGTACGACTATACTGCATTTTGATTTAGTGATTTGTGAGACAGTTTTTCGCAGTTGTCCCAAGTTAAGTCAGAAATTGTTATGTGACTCTTGAGCTAAACACCTAAATATTGAAGTTAGACTTATTCAGCTCAGGCTAGTTTGAAGCACTACAAGTCATTATTACTTATCCTGCCTTTCCTTTTTATGAGGAGATTTTATGTTTTTTAGATAGTTAAGATGCGTTCATCTGCAACACTTTATACACTTTATGTACAATGGCACATGCAGACAACCCCAAATATACAATGTGAAAAATCAAAAGTGAAAAATCGATACAAAGCTTATTGTACAACTTTTCACTTTTTTCTATGAAATTCAAACTTGTGCTTATTTGATGCATTCCCATGCTTTTATATGCTGTAGTGTAGAATTTAAAGCTGACTAACAGCTAAACGTGCAGTATATCATAGATTATCAAGTCCCTTTTAAGATGATGAGGGTAATGCTCATATTCCAATAACTTTTTTGTAGATGTTGTAAATATTAGTTAATTTTTTTTGTCATTGTTCATTTCTACTTCAAACATGTCCCTGGTGTCTCAGAAAAACCTGCAGAGCCAAAAGTACAGTCAAAACCACAATGGTGTTCTCATTAGATTTAGACGTGTTTCAGCTTGTGACTTATCAAAGAAACACACCTTCCTCACATTAACTGATGAGTATGTATATATATATATATTATATATATAGAATGTGCAATATCCAATGTTAAACAGATAAAGAATAAAAAAGTAAGTTAGATGTCTCTTACATAGTCATCTTATATAGATTACAGTGACAACCACACAGAAAAAGCTTGTGTGTGTATTTCTTTAAAAAACCTTGCATTCACACATGCATTCCTTAGAAGCAGACCAGAGGCATCACACAAACTGATAAAGTTATGAACTCACTGCAGCATGTTTATACTGTCCCTGAATGAGATACAGAAGTCACAGTAGTTTGAACAGTTCACCATGCTAACAAAAGTCATTTAAAGACTCCACCGACAGATTAATTAATGTATGTTTTTATAGCTATTCAGTGGACATGGAAAATACATACTGCACAATGGAAGTTTCTGCATTGAAAGTTGAATGAAATAAAAATATTTGTATAAACGACTTTTGACTGTGTAAAAAAATAACTTCATGAGAATATTTACAAAGGTCACAACAATAGTACAGAAAAAATATGCAAATATTAAATATTGTCAAATATCATCAGATCAGCTGAATGAACATTGGCAGTTGTTTTTTGAGATGATTTGTGAGCATCAGCTTCTGGAAACAGAACATTACAAAACAGCATCGTAAATACATGTTAATACAAAACAGATTATTACGCCCTAACTTAAAAGACCAGCTGTGTTAAGGTCAATGTTAAATGTATCTAAAATACTTAATAAATATCAAGAGAGTAACAACATGACATCATGAGGAAGCTCAGCTGGATTTGTTTACAGAGGCGTAGATCACAGAACTGTCATCTTTGTTCACTTTTGCTGACCTGGAAAAGAAAAGGTCAATAAACTAGAAGCTTTTTTAGAGTTCTTATTGTACAATGTTTGATATAGTCTTTTAGAAATAGGATATTTAACCATATTCAACAGTGTTGACCTAGAGCTACACATGCAAGTTTATATTGGGACCTACCGGGACCTGTTCATGTGGCTGGGAGGACTCGGGTTTCTTTCTTTGATGGTTACTGTGGAATAGGTGACCTCCTCCTCATGAGAATTGAAAGCCTGAAAAAAACATTAAAAAAGATTAGACTTTTCCTGATATTTCGAGCTGTGAGTGGAAACCTTGTACCGTTCTGATATTTACATCTTTGCGTGACGCCTGAACGTTGGCATAAACAGTGTCAGATGATTCCTCAAAGTCTGACCCTCTTCCACTGAGCTTGTCAAATACAGTCTGCTGGGAAGAATAAAAGAAAACAACTCATGAGTAGTGCTTCAGGCTAAGTAAAAATTCAGATTTTATAGGAAAATGATTAGGTCAAACATAAAAGGAAATATTTAAAGCGAGCAAACAGAAAACAAACTTCTTTGCATCTTTTACTTTTCCGTAACAGAAAAGCAAAACTGAGATATTGCACATATCAGTCATCATAATCCTGTGTGAAGAACTCTCTTACATCACTGACAATTGCACCAAAAAAACAGTCAAATTAAGCAAATGTTGATGTACATACGTTGGTGTCTTTTGTGGTCCTTAGTTTCTTTTTGGAAAGACTAGAATAAGACAAATAGAAACATTAAAGGCAAGGTAGTTAAAAGAGTTAAGCAATTGAACTAGCCATGATGATAAGCGAATTATGCAAAGAGGGGAAAAAGAGGAAGTGAGATGATTACATCATAACTGACAAAAGGTGAAAAGGGTAATGAATAAATTACTCTGGTTTTAGTCATGTTTTCATAATCATTCACAGACTCACCAGAACAAAAGCAGGGCTATTATTAAAATCACAATTAGAGAAATTCCAATTCCAATCAAGACGAGGAGGGGAGGGCTGCCTAAGGAGAAACACAGTCATCAAATTCAAGCTGCCGGTGATCAAAATGAGTTGGTTGATTCTCATATTTCAGTTCCTGCTTTGTGTTAATGAGTGGTACTGACCCTTCTCCCTCAGTGCCATGGTTAGGATCACCTCAGTCGAGTTGTTTTCTCCCAGGCTGTTCCTGACTTTGCAGATGTAAAAACCTGTGTGGGATGCCTCCACGGAGGCCAGTGACAGCACCTGTCCTGAGCCTACCTGCACCATTTTTTGGGAGGTTTGGGACGCTGTCATCTTGTACCAGGTGTAGTTATCTGCTGCAGGGTTAGCAGCACTGCTGCACGTCAGGTTCACACCGGCCCCCTCAACAACTGTTGGTGGTTCCATTGATACCGAAATGTTCATAGGGCCATCTGAAAGAAAAGTCCAAACATTGTATGTCATTTATACCAAAGTGAAATATCTCTAAATGGGAAAAAAAACAACCAAAAGACAGACTTCTCCAGCTCACATTGGACATCAAGGGTAATCGCTGTGGAACTGATGAAGAACCTGCCTCTCCAGCTGATATTATTCCAGGCCAGGCAGCGGTATCGTCCACTGTGGCTGGGCTGGATGTCAGCGATAACATGCTTTTGCCCTGAACCGATAAACTCTCCATCCCGGTACAGACTGTATCCACTTTGGGTCACGGGAGGGTTGGCGTCACAGCTGCAGGTGAAATGAACCACGCCTCCTTTGATGATGTCTCCTGACGGGTTCACTGTCAGGGTCACCTCTTTGGGAGCATCTGTTTTTAGAGAGAATTAATGCTGATCACACAGGTCATGAAGAGAGAATACTCACATTCATCTGGTTGCAGTATATTGCAAAACTGAAACCTAAACAGTTTTTAAATGTTTTTATATAAAACATGTTTTTTATTCTTTGGATCAGACATTAATCTGCGGTTTGTTGTATTGTATTGCATTGATGGATACTTGGATTCTACCTAAGAGAAGATTCTACCACCAAAGTGTATCTTTTGAATATTTGTTGTTCTGTAATTAGAATTGATGGTACCACAGAATAGAGAAGATTATAAGCATACTTGTATGCTGGAGGGTAACATCAGAATAAAAATAAAACACTACTGACCTTAAGGCACATACAAAACCAAATTGAGTTGTTTTTCTTTCGTTACTTTAGTTTGGATTTAAAAGATTAAAAATGGATTTGCTATAGGTATTGTGCAGTGAACTGGATCTGTAAGTCGAGCTTTGAAATTTAAAGTTTTATTGCAAACTCACAGTGAACTGTAAGGGCTACGGCAGCAGATCGGACTTCCTCCTGTCCGTGCAAAGCACAATGGTACCTCCCTGCATCTTCAATCCCAGCCTGGAAGACTGGATTCAAAACAGATCTTCCATCTTTGAACCAGACAACTTTTAAAGGTTCAGCACAACCTGTCATGCAGGTCAGGCTGACTTTTCCTCCCTCTGTCACAGTGCTCGGTTGCACAACAGTGGTCAGCTCTGATAAAGGGATAGAAACACTTAATTCTTTACAGCCACCCTTTAAATCTATAGGATTTTTTTTGTACATTGTTGTGTGCTTACCTCTTACTGACAAATAGGCAGGTTTAGTACTTGCCCGACTGCCTAATGTAGCTACAAAACTAAAGCCATAAGCTCCTTCATCCGCAGATTGGACATTATTGATCTTCAGCCTGCAGTCCCCCCTATAGTCTCCAATGAATGCAAAGTGGCCTCCGGGTGACAGTGGAAGTTCTCTCCAGTTGCCAGATACTTTCTGGACTTTTGACCATCTGAGGGAGGTGACAATATTCCCAAAGGGGTAATCATACTCGCACTTTAACACAACTGAAGTCCCTCTTAGAGCACATTGGTTTTCAATGGTCACCCTCCAGTCGCCCCCCTGGATTCCTTTTGAATAAGAATAAAACAGTCGCTTACCACATCGTTACAATCTTTTTTAGCCATACATTACTTAAAAAGTGTTTTTACTCACCTGGTATTATTAAAAGAAGAATCAGAGCACATCGATCCATGTTTAAAGTGAAGCCCACAACACTGTGTAAAACAGGATGCAGAGGGTGAAGAAAAAAAGAAGCAAATATCAGCACATGTAAGTAAAAGGTGGCTAACGCAAAATGCCTGCGTATATTTAGGGTAAAGGAGAAGCAAAACTTCCCCCGCTTAAGCAAATCATATTGTTACGCAGTCCTGAGTGTATTGGGTTGCTAAGCTTTTATGTAAATTAGTGAACTCGAGTATACCCACAGAGGATGTGGGGAAATAAGACAGCAGCTAACGCATTGGCCTTTCGCCACACTTGGGGCACAGTACAAAACGTTCAGGCCGGTCGCTCCTCTTAGACTGACGTTTTCCCAAGTGTCTCAAAGACCAACAACATAACAGAGAAAGAAACGTTAAGCTAAAGGAAAAATGTTTTTTTTATACGCCAAGATTTGAGAAAAATGTTTTTGGTTTGGCTTGTGATCTATTAATATTTGCTGAAACATTTTAGTTGTCTCCCAAAGAGCGTGAATGATTAAGTATCAGCCATGGTCATGGGACATTTACTGATAACATACTATGAAAATGAGTACCCATTTTGGCCAGCTGCCTCTCTTCATCCACTGGGTGGAGTTACTCAACCACGCAACAGAAGTAGGAAAGAAGTTACAGCTTTGCTCCCTCAACGAACCTTTTTAATTTTTAAAACAAGGGGGGGATCTAAGTGATTTGTGATTAGTTAATGAATTATTGTTTTGCATGTTTGTTGGATGTGTCAACTGGGATAGGCTCAAGCCCCCTGCGAACTGGCTGGGAATAAGTGGTGTGGAAAATGGAAGGCTGGATGGATGTTTGTTCAGTGTGCTGAGAAATCTGGGTTAGCAGTACTTCACCTCCATCTGATGGTCATCTATGAGGGTTTTGCATATTACATACCCAGACGCATCATAGTTAATGCTTTACTTAATTAGCTAAAGTAAATTAATTGAAACAACTGTAACAAAACACTAGAATTACACAGCAGGTTCAATCGCACGTTACCCACCACACTCATATGCTTAATCCACAGAGATACTAAATACAATAAGATTACATTATCTAGCATAAGTACATTATCTAGCATAAACATCATGGTTTATAGTAACCTGAACCTGATGGAAAAAAGTCTTCTAGTTGTAGTTCAATGCCAATGTAATAGCTGATGAATTGAAGAACTGAAGAATTATTTGTTTTTTATAATAAAAGCAATCTTTTGAATCCTTTGAACTGGACTAATTTGTAATTTGATTAACTGAAAATGATTGGGTTGTGTTACAATGAATTTCTTTATAACTGGCTTCAATTAGACTATATGTGTGAGGTGTTAATAGATAACAATTGTTCTAAATTTGCCAATATTTAAGTAAAACTATCTGAACTGAATCAAATCTGAAATGATATAGTTCCAAACACAACTCACCAGATCCAATAAGCGCATCATCTGTTTTACCGTCACTACAGAGCGGAAATGAGGTAGCAATATTTCCTGTCTCCACATTTTGCAACACCACATTTTTGCTGTAAGGAACAAATGTACAAGACATCAGTGTGGTAATGTCTTCTTGAACGGAACCTGTGACACTGTGGAAATTTCGCAAAGGCATTGTGAAACCGGGGCGATCCATAGTCATAAACTGTACAGTGTACTCATAGATATATTTAGTAGATCAATGAGTAGATGCTTCTGTAGGCTACTTCTACCTCTACACAAATTAATCTTCAAAAAGGTTGCAATGCTGCGTAAAATGTCATAAAACACGGGAAAAAAATGTTCTGATTAATATTCATGCACCATGGAAAACATTAAGATTCTTGAAATACTTTGACAACTCCATCATCAGCAATACATAAATATAATCAAAATGTTGTGCTGTTGGTTAAAGGGAGTGGATACTACTGTTGTGTTTGATGGAGGTTTTGCCTCCACCAAACACAAGTGGAGTTAATATTCTATAATCTTCTCTTTTAGTCTAGCTTTATTAAAATTTCACATCACACTCCAGGGTTTCATGGAATTGGGACTTTAATCAAAGGCCAGTCACATTTCACAATCAAGCAGAGTAGAAAAACAAAGTGAGACAAAAAAAAAACAGAGTATGTCTTTCCTTTATTTATTTTTTATTTCTGTGTAACAAACTACAGTGTGCAATCCACTTTGTTCATTACCACGTCTCCTAAATAAGAATAGAAGAACATTTTTTAATCAAACCAGGCAATATTGACTAACTTAATGTACCAGGATAAGCAATCAGATTAAGACATTTGCACATGGAAATGTATCTTAAATGCAATATTTTCTTAACATATGTGGGTGTTAATATTTAGAGTTATTCCCCACTAACATGTCAGATGTCACACGTTAATTATTCTACAGCAGGCTCTGGCAGAAGGTGCAAGAGGCTGCAGACGGGTGTGTTTTCACACAATTGCATTTGCTTGGTTAAAAAACGCTTGTGCAGGCGTGTTCCCTAATCCTGGGAATAGAAATGCAAGCAAGGCTCTCAGAGGTTTTTCTTTCATGCTCTCTTGACATTCTTGAAGCAGTCTCATTTCATCAGGCAGTATGGTGCAGTGAGACGCACGGAAGGAAAAGGGAAGACATGCAACGCAGTCCAGGAGCCGGACTGTCCAGAGTGGTCCACACACAACCTTAGGAGAGAATCTCTCTGAGCTCAAACGGTGTCAGGCTTCACAAAGATAGGCGTCCTGTGCCACAGGAGGAAAGGAGCAAAGAGACCGGGTCAGACCTGGATGGCTCATTTGCCTCAAAGCAGGAAAAATTGGCACAAACAGTAAAGCAGCAGAATATCAAGTGCTGAAACATCTGCAGTATTTGTTACATGCAAGAATTTAACTGGATTCAGCGGAGCAGTTTTTAATATATAATGTGTCTGGTTGAAAGGAGGCAGGGGTTTCATTTTTCTTTGGCAGTGGTGAAATTTTGTCCCTGATTGATTTCATCAGGTATTTTAAGCACTGAGGTATATCTGTGATGCTTTTAAGTGAGACATTTTTATTATTCGGGGCCTAGTGGGATTACAACCAAAACCCACATATTTCTGCCTCATGTGTAAGTCACTTTGCTAAATTAAACACTGGCATCAAGCCTCGATAAAAAAAGTGAGATTTATGGTTCACAAGGACTGCGGTGAAGCGTGAAAGGTGTCATACCGGCTGGGGTTGATTTCCTGGTTAGCGGCGCGACTGGGGCAGTAATGTGTAAACAACTTTAGTAGAATCCTTTGGTTTTCTCTCACCTCCCAGAGATAGGTTGTGCACCTGCACCTGATCCGCACTAAACCAAGGCAAACCAGAAACACATCACTTAGTGACCCACAAAATCATGAAAACCTGATGCCTCAGAACCATAAAAGGGTTTTGTATCATCCCTCATCAGCATCAAGTCACACAGAGAGAAAGATAACCCGGCACATCCACAGAATGAAAGCTGGCCCTCTGGAAATGCTGCATAGAACAAACTGCCCGTAAAAAAACACAAGTGGTGATGTGAGAAGGTTCCACCTGGACAACTTGGAATAGTGGACAGTGATGTAGCTGGAGGCGTGGCTGCGGCTTCCAGATTCTGTGACAGGCGGGGCATCTTTAAGAGGAACAATGGAGGGATGGGAGCTGTCACTCAAATCCTCCGGTTCCTCCTGCACAAACACACACAAAAAAAACCCCACACACATCGAAAAATTCATACTGTCCTTGTTGCAAAAACCTCAGATATGTTAGTGACTTGCTTACTGGTATGTCGGACATCTTGCCCTTTCTGGGTGGGAAGGTATGTTCAGCTGACTCATAAAACATGGTGTCAGTTGACACCGATAGCCGCTGGGGTCACACATAACCCACACACACACAAACACAACAAAACATAACATCACTATCTGATTTATTGCGGAAAAATGTTTTTTTTTTGTGTCTTGCAGCAGCAAAAACTGAATTATAGAGAGTAATTATGGAGGGCTGTACCTTGTTTGCACCTTCTATGGTCTCTGTGTCCACTCTGTGCATGTTCTTACTGTGCAGATGCAGACAGAGACAGAAAAAATAGGGAGAAAATCCTCAAAAGATATGCAAGTTTTTCCTTTAAAGTTTATTTTAAAGGTTTTAATGGAACAGCCCTGCTGTGGTGCTAGGAGTACTTCAGGTCACCTGATCATTATGGCCACTGTTAGAGTGATGAGGCCAGCAGACACACCCACCGCTGAAGCCAGGGCGATCACCTTCAGCCGACCTGAGATCAAAAGGATTGCAGTGGTTATCAGCGTGACCACAAACATGCGGTACACAGGAGGAAGCGGTGGGTGAACAAAAAAAAGAGAAGCACCGCCAGCTAAAAACAAACTGAAGACGTAAAAATAGAAACAGGCAGAAAGTGATTAAAGAGCTAGCAGTGCATCAATGAGCGACCGTCTAGACTTGAGTCTGATGTTTCCACTTCTGATTTCCAAACCTTCTTCAGCTGTTTAGACTCAAATAGTAGTTTTCCACAGCACCTCATCACCTCTTCCTTTCCTCTCATAGTTAGAGCGCTTTACATGACTCACTGTGACTCATAGAAAAACAGTCCGGAATCACAAGACTTGAATGAAAACCAGAGCCGGGATCACTGTGATAGTGACAGAGGGGTTTCATCACTCATCGTTTTAAATACACAGAAACCATAGCTAAGCTCTCCTGTGGTAGAATAACAGCTAAAGGCTCAGTGTTTTTTTTTCCTTTTTTTCTATTCTACAGTGTCTGAGATAATTAGAAGCATGTCTGTAAAAAGGAGGCTGCTATGTTTCATCACACTTATCACTAACACCTCATCTCAAAGAATGACAGAGACAGACAAAGACAGAAAAAGGAGAATTGAGACTGGCAATATGGGGTTGTGACAGAACACAGACACATGAATCCTTCAAACTTTAGAATTATGAGACCTGGTGAGATATTTTAGGGTCAAAACTTATTTGTGCTGTTAAAATAAAAGTCAAGAGATCAACAAATATACCAGAACATGTGACCATATAACAAAATATCTGTACCTCTGACTCTAACAGTGAGGACCGGAGAACTGTGGGCTCCAATTCGGTTCCTGGCCTCACAGTAATACTGACCGCTCTCACCAGGGCTAACTTCGGAGAAAGTGAAGACAGCCCCTAATTTGGTGCTCCACGCTGCAATGACAAAAGAGCAGAAAGCATGCACTTAGAAACAACAGCACAGGACAAAGAGAGAAAACGCACAGATTCGAAAATACCACGTGGCTTCACTGACTGCAAATAATCCCCACGCAGTGGGTTATTTAAAGTGTTGTTGATTTTGTAATGTTAACCTTGAGTGGAACCACATTTTTTACGATGCTAACATTGAACAGAGCCCCCATCCAGAGCTAAACGGTGCCATGTGAAGTTGTCCACCGCTGGGTTTGCCTGACTGCTGCAGGTCAGGGTCAAAGGTCGGCCTGCATCCACCACACTAGAGGGGCGAGCCTGGACTGAAGTGTTCTTAGGAGGATCTGGACAGGGCAGCAGAGAAAAAGACATCATTATTGTGGTAAAGTATTTGCTTTACTAGGGAAGAACAACACTTGACAGAGCAAAAGAAAGAACACACAAATACAAGGAAATGTGTAGAACAAAGTAACAGAACCCGACTACCTCTGCTACCTGCTATGGGAAACCGGGGAGAGACAATCATAAACACCTGCTCATCAAAATGTCCTTACTTACAGAGCACAGTGAGCGTAGCCATCGGGGAGGTCTGGGATCCAAGTCGGTTTGATGCTGTACAGTAATACTGACCAGCGTGGTGAGCGCGTACGGATGGGAAAGTCAGGTTCTGAAAATTACCCTTGGTCACCACCTGGTCACCAAGGATACGATACCAGGCATACCTGTCAGAGAGATTACAAAGCTGATGATGATGGTGTTGATGATGATGATTTAGATTGCTGATGTCATCAGGCTAAAACTACATCATTCAACTTCATATTTTGACCGATAAGCAGTGATAATTAACAGAATAGCTGAAGCATACATACATAGGTCAGAATCATTACAATTATCTTCATATTTAGCCATTTAGAGGACTCCTTGAGCCAAAGTGATTTACCAAGTGAGGAACCATTAGTTCTGCTTTGATTGACCTATTTAATCTGGATTTATTCTGTCGTGGTACCTGCTGGGAGGAGGGTTGGAGTGACTGACACAGTTCAAGTTCACATGTGAGCCTTCTCTGATGTCTCTGTGGGGGCTCATCCACACACGAGTGTTCTTTGGTGAGTCTAAACAGGCAAAATCATCAGAAACAACAGTTGAATTGTTATGCTGAAATCAACACTGTGCATGAGCAATTAGCAGTTCCACATCTTAAAGTCAACTTTCACATGAATGCAGCCACTATCAAGAAAGCACACATCAACTATTTTACCAGATGTGAAGATATCAATAGATGCACCTATTTTTTGATGATTAACCAGTTGGTTTGTTATTATTTTTACATTCTGCCCCATTATTGAGACATGGATTCATGCAAATGCACCGATTAGAGTGTTGAAACTCTATAGCCAAGTGGCAAACTCACAAGTGACATTCAGCAGGACTGATGTGGAGCGATCTGTTCCCAGTGAGTTGCGTGCCACGCAGTAATACTCTCCTTTGTCTGTGTATTTGAGGTAGGACAGGTGGAGCTGAGGACTGAAGCTGTCTGGGATGCTGCCACTTTCCATGTCTGGGTAGAAATAAAGGAGACTTCTGCAAAAACTCCAGCAGAAAACTCCAAACACACGCACAAGTACAATTCTTTAAAAGAAAATCCCTTTAAAAGCACAGCTTTGCCTATGGATTATTATAACATATCTGCCCGACAGAATTAACACTCCAAATGGACAGATTTGTGTTTGTGTATAGTTTTATGTACCTTTGAACCACGCAAAGCTCTCTACAGGTGGGGCTGCATCACTGCTGCATGTCAGAGTAACAGATCCCCCCTCTGACACCTCCCCCAGTGGAAAGACTGCCATGGCAGTGGAGTGAGGACTATCTGCAGAAGAAGATACTGGGATTTAGGTTAATTAATGGCTGAATCAGTTTTCAATTTCAGTTTCAATTTTCAAATCAATTTTCACTTGATTCAAGTAATGAAATCCAACTAAGAAGTTATATTGTCTGCGTAGTTTAAATCCCAGATTCAAATCAACATTATTGTATACGAACATTGTTTTGGTGACTGGGTTTACTTACGCCCCAGAGTCAGTGAGAGGGACGGTGACTGCACATTCTGTGGTGGGATCGGTCGGCAGGTATATGCCCCACTGTGCTGCTTATCAAAGCGGTTAATAGTCTTCCATTTCTCATAGGAACCAAGGTTTAGTCCACTCCTGCGGGTGTAGTGCACATCATGGTGTATTTTACAATATACGTCTCAGTACACTCTGTTAACAGTTTGGACATACTAGCTGTGTGTGTAGCTGTTGTGTAGACTCACCTGTAGAGTGCCAGGCTCCTCCCTGGAGCGGCACATCCCCTCGCCTGGCAGCCTACATACACTGTCTCTCCAAACCCAAACATGTTGGACGGCCTGGCTGGATGCACCTTGACCTGGAGGTCTGAAAATGAAAGACAGAGACAGACACGTACATAAAACTTGAAAAGCTGCAAGGCCAGCTCAGAGGCTGCCGAATAGTGTATCAGAGCTGAAATGTCCCACAAGTGGTAGGTGAACCGACCTGTTACTTCCAGGCTGACAGTGTCTGGGGAGGTCCATCTCCCCAGCGGCTGGTCCGTCTCGAACCTGAAGTGATACTGGCCAGCGTCACTCAACTTCACTCCCCGAATCTGGACTGAACAGCTGGAATAGCTGCCGCCGATGTAGCTACGATGTCAAAAAAACAAATTCAGGCAACATTCAAAACCATAATTCCACTTGCAAACATCTGCAGTGTGTGCGTCCTCTCACCGCGTGCGTCCGCGGTATGACAGGCTGATCTGGTTAGGGTCCGTGTGATGGGCGAACTCCCTGCGACCCTCAGCAGACACACGGAACCACATGACTCTCTTCATGGTGTGACCTGAGACCAACGTGAAGAGAAAACGAAAATGTGCATAAGAACACATACAGACATTTAATGCTTGTTCTCAAGATAACATTGGGGAAGAAGAAGTTCAGAATGAAGAAATAACAAGACTATTAACCAGACTATTATATGAATATACTTGATGTAATAAATGTATGTATATGCATATGTACATGTAGAAAACTGATGATTTGACAAGAAAAATACATGCTCTGAAAGTTTTATTACCTGATGGGTAGTCATAACGGCAGGGCAGTGTGACTGTGGTTCCTGCCCACACACAGATTTCCCTCCGAGAAAATGAAACACTCCACCTGCTCTGAGTACCTGCAGTACACATTGCATAGTATGGACAAATGACCATCCATCCATTATCCATTCTATTTGTTCCACTGGGGGCTAGAGCCTATCCCAGCTGACAATAGGTAAGAGGCAGGGTACACCGTGGACAGGTCCCCAGTCCATCCCAACAACCACACACACTCACATTAACTCCTAAGGGCAATTTGGAGTGTCCAATTAATCTAACATGCATGTTTTTGTGCAGTGGGAGGAAGCCGGAGTACCCATAGGGAATCCATGCAGACACAGGGAGAACATGGAAATTCCACACAGAAAGGTCTCGGTCCCCAGGGGTTTCAAACCCAGAAACCAGTGAGGCAACAGTGCTAACCACCACACCACCATGCTGCCCCAACAAATGAACATAAATATACAAAATCACTGTAGTGATCACCAGCAAAACTCATAATTTACACAGTGATAAGCACAAACACAACTTACCGCCCTAAATTCACAAGCATGGTGCTGTGTTTACCATTTATATTGTGCCTTTCTTGTCTGAGTTCAGAAATAAATTGCTCAACAGTCCAGAATGTCCTCATTATTCTTTTTCTGTGGAAGTGTTTCTTGACGTGCTATATCTTTTCCACTGGTGACAGGTGTGGACTGCAGGCAGGCGACCTTCCTGGCTGGACTCTTAAACTGTTGTTAAAGAGCCTGAGTGCTGGACTCAGCTGCCATACATCTGTTCAAATATGAGGCCAGATGGCCTCGCGTCATCAGCTCTCTCTCCTCTTTCGTCAGGACGCATTCAGCATCCGTGATTTAAAACAAGAATATCAATTTTTCGGCACAGAATATCCATAAAATGATTCATAATTTGTTGAGACAGAGCTGGAAATGGTCCGGATTTGACTTCTGTCAGACGTTACTTCTCATAGGTGCTCTTTTTGTGCCCAGACCTGTTGTCACTTAATGGAACTAGCACAGTATGTTTCTCTAGCAGTTCCTTATTCTTCTGAGAAATTCATTTCTAATAAAACAAACAAATGAAAGAATTCTGATTATCTGATGCCTTATCATTTGTTCCTTAGCTTCTGAATGTGTGGGGAAAGCACATTTTGAAGAAAACTGGAGATCTAAGGGCTCAGTTTAGACGGTGACATGTACAAGTAAAGCAGTGACAATGAGCTTTGATGTGCAGTCGTGGTGTCATCCTGCCTGCCTGATTACCTTGCACAAAAAGCAATCAATACTTATAAATAAACCTGAGTGTAAAGGCAAGGGCACCTGGTTGCAGAATGCTTTATGCATAAGGATTCTTAAATCATTCCCCATTTTCTAAAATTTACTGTCTACTTTGTGTGAAACAGTCATTTGTGATATTTAATAAATACTTAAATGATATCAGAATCAACATCTACTGTTAAAAGATAGAAAACAACATCACAAATGGGTGTTCAGTTCAGATTTGGTCCAGAGAAAGGAAAATATATTCCCGATATTTCCTCAGATTTGTGTGTCTTACCTGGTAAAGCTGTGAGAATGGTGCCCAGAACTAAAACACCTGCCAACATCTCCGCTGACTCCAGCTCTGTAATGTCAGCCGATGAGGAGAAAAACAGGGGGTGGACAGAGAGAGAGAGAGAGAGAGAATGAGAGATGAATTTCACAAAAAAACGGTGCAAATGTTGGAAGAAGAGGTACTCACCTCCCAGAGTATCTACATTCACCTCAGCTAGTGAAGCAGGCGGGGAACAGAAGTAGCACCCGGACAGCCGTGGAGGTGAAGGGATGGACAGCGGTGGGAGTTGTGTATCGGCTGGCATGAGATGGGAGGAGTATTTGAAGGGACAAAAGGAGAAGGATGATAACGTTTTTTTAGGCACTGCTGCCTCTTCACCCTTTTTTAGTTGAAGGTTTTCGGCCTCACGTTTCCTGTTTTTGGCCGCTGTGACAAAGTGAGATCCTTGTGACTTTTTCACTTTCACAGTTGCCTTTTTTTAAACTCACAGTAGGTCAAATGGGGTTAAACTGCATTTTATTAAATGCAAATCAGGCTCTATAGGATTGCCATTAAGCACCACTGTTGCATCTCTTACCACACGCTTCTCAACTATTATTATAATTATAATTTTAATATTCTATTAAAATGTATCAATTTATGGAACAGCAAGAAATAATGAATGCTAAAATTATACCATGAGAGCGGTCAAAAAAGAAAGTTTAAAAGAGGGTCTATATGAAACTATTTAGTTGCTATTATTTAAAGAAAAATGACTGTGGACACAGGAAAAAGTTTTTGAATGAAAGTGAACACAAGAATGTGACCAAAACAGAGTACTACTAAAGCTGTGGAATGTCAAAAGTACACCCTCAAATAGTCTCAAAATATGGCATGTTGTTTTTTTAACATTTTTTGCATGGAGCTCTCAATTACAAAAGTATCCCAACTCAAAAGATTATTGTTTCATCGACCTAACCAGATACACGTACTGCTCAAATGAAATAATCCAGGTAAAGAATAAAAAAATAAATATCATAACTAAAAAGCCATATGAATCTATTATTGGAAATATTTCACATCTTGTCCCCCATTTGGGACACTTTTTTGTTTTTTCTGTCTACAAGGAGCAGGAAACATTTGACCTATTTTTCTAATTAAAAAAATGTTATGGAAGCATGTTTCTCCTGTGAGCGTAAAGACTCTGCAGGTCAATTGCGAGGTGAAAATCATTAAGCCCTCAACCTTGCTCTTGTATTATCACAATATTGGTGTAGACTTTGAATGACATGACTGATAGGTGCTTGTATATGGTCATTTGTGTAATGACACCAGGGCTGTAAATGATCATAAGTCAAACAGACACTGACTCAGCAGCCCAGATGTCCCTTTATCCACTTCTCTAATTGAGAACTGTTGGCACTGAACGCTACCACAACCAGACATCGGGAGGTTCGAGACCTCTCAGTCAACTGTGTCCACTTTGCCTGATGAGTCTAAATTACTTTAACATCTTACCCTGCCAAAACCTGGCCAATAGATGTCAGCTTAGCATCACGACTCGGCCAATTGGCTACTTACCCCAGCTATGACCTAGGAATAATGATGATGTACAGTTTAACATTTAAGTCAATCTTTACTTACAGATTTCCAAGAGGAAGAAAATGAAACGTACGTTTCCCTCAGAGAGGATCTTGATCAGCATATTCAAATTAAGACTGACAGTTTGTTAATTCGTAGACTGATCATCAGGTTGTGGGTGGGGGTGATTGTGAAGGCTGTGGAACATGAAAGCACATCCAACATGTATTTCCTGCTTGACTCCAGGGTTTTCGATTTGACTTTTAGTTATTCTAAAGTAAGTAACTTTGAAACATGATTATCGGTCATTTATTAATAGGATTTATAAGTTGGGTTTTTGGCATGAAGATTAAAACTCAATATGGTCCTCGTTTGGCTCCTAAAAGATATGAATGAGATCTCCATTATGATCACTGGAAATGCTGAGCTCAACTTTAAGCGGCTACCATAATAGGAACGTAAAGTCTTTTGTGAGAAAATGTACCTTCAGACTATACACAAAATCCTAAGGATATAAGGTTAATTGAACAATATATTCCAGTTCACAGCATGCTAGGCTAGATTATAGGTTGGAATCCAAAATGGGTCGCAGGCCTTTCTTTAGTGGGTGTCCACATTACTAGAACACTCTTATGATTTAATGATCCCAGAACCTAGGGAAAAAGTGATTTTGGTCCCTGGCTGAAAAGTTTTAAGAAACGACACCAATTTTTTTCCCATTCCAAATTCCTTCAGTATTGTGCTGGGTACTGAGATTGGTGGGATTTGAACTTAACCTGTAACCACAGAATGACTTCAAAAGGATCGTGGCACACTAATAGGTCAAAGCCTGATGTAATCTTAATGGAAAACAGACTGGACTAAATGAATGAAGAGAAACAGATGGATGGAGCTAGATTAAGTGTGACTGACCACAAACAGAGAGAGAAAGAGGGTGTGAGAGAAAAAGGAGCATGAAGACGTTTTAAGGGTAAAGGTAAGAGGGATGGACACAAACATACTAAGCAATGTTGCTATAGAGAAAAAAGTAAGAAGCATAAAGAGAAGAGGGAACGACAAAGGAGGCAGAGGGAAAAAAAACACAAATGTAGATAAGAGTTGCATTTGGGATGGAAAAAAGTGTTCAGTGGACAATGTTTCCTGCCCTTACGGTAGGGAAGATATCTATCCACTGACCGCAGCCTGCAGGCCAGATGAAGTGTGACCGTCTGGTGGTCAGGCTGGACCTGAAGATTTTCCGCTGTTGCAAAACACTTCCTGCCTGCTGTTTTCATGTAATGTGACCACTCACAGTTTGCTCCCCTGCCATACTTTAAGTCGTACAATATGTTATTTCTTATGCCCACAGATTAGACTCTTAGCTTTCCAGGCCCTCCAGCCTTGGACCAACTCCATATAAGCAAATAATGATTTGACTGTCCAACATGTGTTAGTCTTCATATTGAGTGGCGCTCTCCAGGGGGGAAGTCTGGGCAAGAATGATGATGATCAGAGCTGCAATCATATCTGACAAGGTGATATGTTGTCCCTGTGCTGTCTTTTAGGGAGCTCTACATGACGACTTGATGAGCGGGATCTTTGCCAAAAGAATCACAGAGCCAGCGGGGAATTCAATAAAAGAAATAAGGAGAAGCTGAGGCAGGACGACTGGGTTCCTTCCTAACTAAACCGATACCATCAATAGCTAAAACACACAGTATTTAGTCACTTACACACTTGACTTTTCAAATAAGCCAAGCTAAACATTTGGTGATTTCTTAAAACTCTTAAATCTTTGAAACTTATTGAGGCTCTATTAGATTTACCCTGGTTTTGCTCATTCCTGTCCCATTCACAAACTCTGCTGTGGGGTCGGGTTTCTGGCCCTTGTCTGCCAGAGACCTGTCTGTGGCTGCTGTGGTATTCCACGCTGAATGAGTCATGTCTGGTGGTTATTATGGGTAGCTTTTGGCTCCCCCCAATTCTCACCCCGTCTAGCGGCAGCAGACAAAATTACATGTTTTTTTGAGTCTCATCCAGCCATGCTGACTAATATTGGGTCTCTTTAAACAGGGTAGATGAGTTAAGTGCACATATTTGTGGAGTGGTGTAAGAATATATTGCTGTATTAACTTTCTTCTAAGGGTGAACAAAGTTGATGGATGACGAAGAACATATTGTAATTCAGAGTAAACTGTGAGTTGAGTAGAAATGTTAATACTGTTTACTACTCAGAAATGAAAGCCTAACTGTGGAAATCTAAACTGAAGCCAAAATCAAAGACTTAAAGCTTGAAACTGAGATAAAATAAACACCTTTCCCATAACTGGTAAACTTATTAAATGAGCAATCAGTTTGCCCTGCGTAAATATTAACAATAGGAAACACAGGCTCTGTCCAATGGTAACAAATTACCAGCCCTCTAATTAGTTTCTGAAGATAATTTATTACACTGGATACAATTCAACTTTCTGTAGTCTTGTCATTACAATGACGGATAAGGGGTGCCTGTCCAAGAAATATTACCACAATAGTGCCACGATCTGTTATTTTTGGATGGAACAAATCCAACCCAATGTGTTGATTATTGAGAGTCTCTGCCAGGCTTCAAATTAGTCCTGAGAACTACCCTGCAAGAAAGCAAATGAGAGTATTTCCCAAAATGTTGAGCTATTTCTTTCATGCTCCAATACGATTAGTTATTTTTAACCACAACCAGATCAGGTGACATTAAGAATACATGTAAATTTATGTATAATCTTTTTTTTGTTGTTGTTTGCTTTGTGTGGTGAGTTGAACCATTCCAGGCAGCAATGAAAACATATCTGAAAACCAAACATTTTTGATAGCAAGGGTTTGTAGAACCAATCATTCATTAAATTGATGGTCACTGAGCATCAAAGGTAGATGGTGAGGAAGGGTCTCACACACCCTGTTCACTTCTTGTGTCCAGATTTCCCCAGATGGGAATCTTGTTGTCTGCCAGCAGAAACAGAACTTTCTGTCTGTCTCTGCGTCTGTCTGTCTGTGTTGTGTGTTCAAATATGGGTGAAAGCCGTTTCCTGGTTGAGACTGAAAGAGAACATGTGTGTCCGCTGTATGTGGGAGACAGTAGGTGGAGGTCTGTGTGCCTCTGCCTTTGTGTGTGTGTGTGTGTGTGTGTGTGTGTGCGTGCACGTGCACATTCTGCTTGTGATAGTTTTACCATGTGCTGAGTCCCTGTACAGGACTGAATGAAGTCGGATATGAAGGAACTTGTCAGGTCTGGGCTACTGTTGGAAACCCTCCCTCTACTATTACTACAACCTTGTCTTCCTCTTTTCCTTCATTCAGCTAAAAACACTATGCCTATACAGTTTATACAATCATTAAGCTTGGAATTTGATATTTGTGGCATTGGGTTTTTTAATCTTTGGAAAACTAATTCCTATTAATGAAATGAAGCTCTGGTATGGTTTGCCAGCCTTTTACCTTACCAGTAAAAACGTTTTTCTGGTGATGTTGTGAACATTCTGCTGTTTCAGACTTTCTCTGTGGGTTCACCTTTAATGGCTGAATTTACTGCACAGACAAAACTTTACATACAATGGTTCTTATCCATCATTATGTCCTAAGGGCAATTCAGAATATCCAATCAACCTAACATACAGGTTTTTGGACTGTGGGAGGAAGCCGAAGAACCCGGAGAGAACCCATGCAAATACTGGGAGAACATACAAATTCCGCACAGAGAGGTCCTGGTTCCCCTGGGGACTTGAACCCAGA